TGGGCCAAACCGGAGTGCCTTGTAGCCTACAATGTAGCTAAACTGCATTTTAAAACAGTCACTAGTACAATCATCATTACAAATAAAGGTCAAGTAAGGATACCTTGTATTAAAGTTTATTATAAACAAATATGTACATAGTAAAAGGTCTGAAGAAATGTTGCACTATAATTCTTTTATTTCACTGCTTCTATGCTTCCTAATAACCTGTGATCATAACAAAGAGGGGCCTGTGGTTCACTATTTTACTGATTCTACAGCGCACATTACTCCCCTCATTTAACATGTCTTAAGTCAGGGCCAGGCCTACATTTTTTTCCTTAGTGTATAAAATATGGTGTACCTCACCAACATCTTAGATTCAATGAAACATCAAATCTGTTTTTTTGAAGCCCTAACTGCAATGTCACCCACAGCAGGAACCCCACAACTGCGGGCTTTTTTTAACAGACTCCTCAGCCCAGAATCCCCAGGAGTAAAGATGAAAGCTCCTGCCTGGTTCGGACGCTCTGCAGCTGACTCTCAAGCTCAGATCTGAGAACTTCAGATCCACATCGATCCAAACACAGACAAATGGAGGGGAATTATACAAAAATGAGGCAGATCTAGGCCAAAAAAGCCTGAAGGTAAAATTCACATGATGAGAACTTTCATTCTTTCCTTTACAATGAGTGGCAATGAGCCTGACTCTGGGCCAGGTACCCTATGGGGGTGAGGAGGGAGAGGCCTCAGTTGAATAAATCTGGAAAGAAGATGCTGAGAAAATTCCTGTTTGCTATGGTTACAAGAGTGTTAGGTAAAAATTACCCAGATGTTTGCTTGTTTCTTCATCTACCAAACCAGAATTTTACTTAAAATGTCATAATCCAGTTAAAGTAATGAAATGATGATAGATTTCTATAACCAAGACCACAAAACATCTCCAAACCAGAAAACAAGACAAAAATGACGTTTAGTTCTACCTGCTCCTTCAGAGTTCTACAACTGTTGGTTAAACAGTTGTAACTCAAACTAATTTAATCTTACACTAGGCCATCCATCTAGGAGAAGGAAGATGAAAGGACAGAAATAAATAAATATTACAGACAATGACAAAAATAAAACTAAATACATTTCAACTATAAGTTGAACATAAGTAGGGTAAAGAAGTGTTCAGTTAATACATTGTCACAAGGAAGAGAACAGAAAGAGGCACAAATTTCCATACAGTATAACTACCTTCGTCTCATGGAACTATTTTACATTATATGAGAAGTTACAGGTTCCTATTCTGAATGAATGTTTAAGAATCGCCTACAAATCCACTGCACTTTAGTACTTTAAGTAGTCGGAGAACTGCAAGAGCAAACATAATTCTGCCAGTCAGACCTTCTATGTGAACAAATGTAGAAGAGTGGCTGCAGTTGCCCAAGAGACCTGGACAGCTCACCAATTCTTATTAGAAAAAAAAAGTACACCTGGTACCATGATACTACCTTTACAAAACCTGTAGAACTTAGGATGAAAATCCAGGAACTGACTCACTGCTGTGGACATCCACATGACTCTTCCTCACAAGCCCACAAAAACTCCCCAGGGTTCACCGATGGATGAATGGCTAAACAAAACGCAGCATGTATCCGCAGTGGAATATTATTCAGCTATAAAAAGGAAGCCCTCCTACACACAACATGGGTAAACCCGTAAAACATAATGCTAAGTGAAATAAGCCAGAAACAAATGACCACACATTGCATGACTCCATTTACATGAAAAATGCAGAACAGGTAAATCCATAAAGACAGAAAGTGGACTAGTGGTTGCCAGGGGCTAGAGGAAAGTGGCGGGGTGGGGGGAATAACGGCTTAATGGGCATGAGCTTCCTTTTGGGGTGACGAAAATGTTTACAACTGAACAGAAGTGATGACCACACAACTCTGTGAATGTACTAAATGTCACTGAATTAATTGTAAATGACAAATGTTATGTTACATGAGTTAAACTTAATTTTTTAAAAAAATGAAATGGAAAAAGAAAAATTCAACAGAGTACAACTAGAAAAATCATGAACAGAAGCAAAAATTTGATTAGAAATAAGGAAAATGTAAGTAATATAAGAACAGTTTCAACCAAGAATACTGATGGAGCTGTGCAAATCCAGAGGGAATGGACCACTTAATTTCCTCCTCTAAAAGAAATTCAGCTGACTATATTTTAGGAGCTGAATAAAAATCATAAAACATTTATTTATTCATTTTTCTTTTATTGATTCCAGAGATAGGGTAGGAGTAACATCCATGTGAGAAAGTAACATCAATCAGTTGCTTCTTCCACAAGCCCCGACTGGGGACCGAACCCTCAACCCAGGCAAGTGTCCAGATCGGAATGGAGCCCGTGATCTATGGTTTCTAGGAGAACACCCAACCAAAAGAGCCACACCAGCCAGGGCAACCATAAAGCCTTTTCAAGTTTTAAGATCTTGAGAACTTTGCCCAATCTCCCCAATCAGATTAAGAGAACAAGGCATGCCTGATATGAAATAGTTTGGCCAATCCTGTTCATGAAATAACAACACGCAGAGGTACTGTTTAAAACCCAGATCATCTGATCCCAAAGAAAAGGATCCTTCGGGACTAAGTTCAAGATAATTTTTTGAGACAAATTTTTGCTATTGTATTAAGCTCTAAGCTAGATGGATTTTTGTGAGATCTAAGACCAAAATCTTTTGCTTCTTGGGTCTTATAGCTTTCAGCTTCAGGAAATAAGTACAAAATGAAGAAACAGAGACTCTTACTGCCTCAGACAAAGTAAAGGAGCTTTGTGAGGGCCCAGGCTTCTTATTCATAGCCACTGGGGTAAGAGCAAGAATTGCTGGTGCACAGCAGGCACTTTCACGATTTTAAATGAATATAAAAAATTTTAAATACTGAGACTCACCATTTAAGACCTAAAATATGTGGTGAAAATATTAGACTCTCGTGATCCCCAACAATGAACACTACTTTTTTTGTTGCCATTTAATAATCTCTTAGCCCAACTGTGTTTTCCTTTTTAATGTATCTTCATTAATCATGAAGACACTGATGAGTTGACAATGCTTAAGGTAGCAGTCTACATTAAAATTCTGTTAAAACATCCATTGCGTTTATTTTTAAGTCAGTTTAACCCAGTGGTGCTTTATTCTTAACTCCCTTTATTTATTTTTAAATTTCATTTACTGATTTAAGAGAGAGAGAGAAGGGAGAGAGAGAGGGTGCCAAGAGAAAAACCAACTGTTGTTCTACTCATGCACTCATTGGTTAATTCTTGCATGTGCCCAAACCAGGGAACAAACCTGCAACCTTGGTGTATCAGGACAACATGCTAACCACCTGAACTATCTGGCCAGGGCCAATTTAACTCCCTTTTAAACAGAAGCCCCCCTACAGCAGGGACTTGAGGGGAACCTGGCCTGTGTCCTTTTCAAAAAGTTCACACAGTGACAGATGAATACTAACATTAGTGGGGTGATCACATGTAAGTTATAAAAATATCAAGTCATGCTATTACATACCTAAAACTAATATACCCAATATAAATAAGATGGTATACCAACTACACTTTAAAAAATAAATAAAATGCCTCATTTGTGGACGATTCTGAAAGGTTCACAGATTGAGAATCACCACATTGAACTTTTTTATTTAAAACAAAATGCTAGTCTTTGATATGCCAAGAAAACATTACACAGAATTTGTGAAACAAAGCTTCTAACACCTGTATAAAACTGAAAAGAAATGTGACTTAATTAGTAAATAGAACTCCTCCGGGCAGAGACTGGGCAGCCTTTAAAAGAGGTACAGTGAATACGCCCAAAGCCGGACACTGACTCTGCTGATTTTTTGCTGAATGGCCTAAGTCATTAAGTTTTATTTTCTAAGTTAAGTGGAGATCCCTTGGTACTGTGCAAAACCCTCTGTGAATAGTCACATGCCACTTAATGATGGGAACATGTTTTGAGAAACGTGTCATTATGCAATTTTGTCCTTGTGCCAACATCCCAGAGTGCACTTACACAAACCTAGGCTGGTCTGGCCTACTGTATGCCTCGGCTGTGTGGTATACAGCCTGTTATCCCTAAGCTACAAAGGTATGCAGCATATTACTGCACAAGCCAACAAATGAAGCACAAGTTAAAATGATGCAATCAAGAGATGAGGCTGAGCCCTGGCTGGGTCTCAGGGGGTTAGAGCATTGCCCAAAAGGTCAGGGTCAGGTTTGATCTCCTGTCAGGGCACATAACAAGAAGCAACCAATGAATGCACAAGGGGAACAACAAATTGATGTTTCTTTCTCTCTCACTCTCTCTGTCCTTCCTCTCTAAAAGTCAATGTTAAAAAGAGAGATAAGGTGAACATGAGATATATGAGGCTACTATTTTACAGCATACCTTTTTTAGTAAGTTACAAGAGTACACGCTAAAATAATAAAAAGTATAGGGCATTAAATACATAAACCAGGAACATAGTCCTTTATTATCATTATCAAATACAATAGTATGTACTATACATACAGTGGACCATTGAACAGGGGTTTGAACTGTGAAGGTCCTGTTGTAAGTGGATTTTTTTTCAATAAATACAGTAGACTCTTCACATCTGGGTATCCAACCAACTATGGATCAAAACAGTATACATGGACTGAAACAGTATATTTGATCCACAGTTGCGATTCTGCGGTTGGGAATGTGAAAATACTTTTTTCAATCCAGTTAGTGAAATCTAGGGTGGGAAAGCTGACTGTGGAAGTCACGATTTACACCTGGATTTTCAACTGGGCAGGAATGGGAGCTCCTAACCCTGGTTGTTCATGGGTCAACTGTATGTGCACCACTCTTACACTGCTGGCCACACAAGGCCTATTTACACCAGCATCACCTCAAGCATGTGAGTAATGCCATGCAGTATGTCACTGGATGATAGGAAATTTTCAGCTCCATCATACTCCTCTGGGACGTGGATCTAGCTGACGGAAGCGTCATTATGCAGCACAAGACTGTAAGTCGTGTTTCCCCGAACTTGAAAAAAGTGATAGAATACCACCAATGCCCCCAAGGTGGCCAAGGGATCTGAGACCTACTGTGAGTATCTACTGCCAGGGGAGTTCATATTTTCTCTATAAAACTGGGAAAGATAGATAAAAGGATCTAGTCTTTGGGTTGTAAGAAACAAATGTGCCTATGAAACCACTTGGCACAGTTCCTAGTAAGCAATCTAATAGTATCTAGTTTATAGTATCCATATATATTTTTTATTCCACAGCAGCCATCTTTCCTGATGTATCCATGCATTTTTTGATAAGTAAAAAGAAACAAAGAAAAGCTTCTGTCCACTAAACAGTGGTTCCATATCACACGAAAACAAATTTTTAAGGTAGAGAATAAAAACAAAAATCACAGCTGGATATATAAATATCAAATCGTCAACCCATTCCTAATATTGTTTGGATCCAGGGTCACTCATCCTCATACATGGTACAAAGAGTGGGGACAGGCAACAAATGGGGTGAAGGAAAAAGAAACAACAGCCCATTTATCAATGACACCCAACAACAGTAGGCTGGATAGTTTTAAAAATGAAAGTACGTCCAGTTTAAAAGACATTAAAACTTTACTACAAGTGAGCCAAGACGGCCCTCCACAGTGTTCCAATGCAACATCAACTCCATCCCCGCTTCTTCGGAGCACTCAGCCCTGATTTCCCAGCCGGTGCCCCTCCTGGATCCCGCGACCCAGGTGGCAGCCCCAGTGCAGAGCCTGAGCGCAAGGTGCCTCACAGCCCCGCCCTCCAGCGAGACCCGGGAGGGGACACCTGGAGGGAGACACGGCGCAGGGGCGGCAGCCCGGACCCCCAGCAACTGCGCCCTGGCAGCCCTGGTCCTGCCCTTATCCTCCCCTGGTCGAGACGCACCGGGAGAACCAGGGCACGCCCTGCAACTGGCCCCGGCGTCGGGGTCGGCAGAGGATGAAGGTGAAGGTAGGTTCCCGGCTGCCCGCAGCCGCTCTCTATCCTCCCCACCCGGGGCCGAGGCTCCTTCCGCCTCCCCGACCGTCTCACCGGCCTCCCGCCCGCCTCTCCACCAGGCTCGCCCGGCGCAGTCAGTCTTGCCGGAGGCCGACGGGAGCAGCCGCCACCGCCTCCCGCTCGTTTCTCCGCTTCCTTCCGAGCTCCTCCGGCTTCCCTTCACCCCTGCGAGTGGCCGGAGGAAGCCAGCTCGCTGCTGGGCCTCCTCCCCTGCTTCCCGCCACGACCAATGGGCCCCTGACACTGGGTGCCGCGCCCGCCCCCTGGCGGTGGAGGACCGAGCGAAACAGGCGGGGGGAAGGGCCTGAGAGCCCGGGAAGGCTTCCGAGACGGGTCGGCTGCCCAGGTCCGGTGCTGCGCAGTGTGAGTTTGCCACGTGGGAACCGGGGCTGCGCGGGGCTGGCCAGTAGACAACGAGCCACGCCCTCCTTTCCCCGCCCCCAGCCTGCGGACCGGCACTTTTTTATGCAGATCTTCCGGCAGAAACTTTAAACCAACCAGGCCCAGTCTAAAGGTTACTGGCTAGTGAGAGTGAGATGGCCGTAACAAGCAACCATGTTAGTTACTTTTGACTCCTTAAGAGCTAGCTATCCTATCGTGAAAATACCACCTGGCCTCAGCACTAGAATGCTGGTAACCTTCAATATTGTACTCAAGAAAAAAGTGGTGCTTGTGTTTTGCACGTTAGTTTGTTTCAATTATTTAGCAATACAACAGTTGGAAATGTTTTTCTCCTCTACACACATTCTTTCCACTATTGTATTGATAAATGGGTACTCTGTCCAAACCCCACTGTACAAAACCTGACCCTAGAATAAAAAATTGTTTCATAATTCATATTCATATTGTGGAAAAATTAATAACTATGAACTGTCATTAAGTAGAATACCAGGACACTATGAGGTTGTCAAAATTAAGTGGCATTAAAAAAATAATAAGGTTTGAACGTAGGAAGTACTGTAAAACTTAGCTTTTCTTTGAGAAATATAAAGTGCAGAACTTAAAGAATAGCTGTGTATTTTGGAGTTTGTGTTCCATGTACCAGAAGGAAGCAACAAATGCCTTCTGAGAGCCTTCTTGGTGCCAGTTTGCTGGACACATGCCGGGCCTTTGGGTGTGTGTTCTCATTCAGTGGTCACAACACAACCAAAGTAGGTATTATCTGTGTAATCCTTTAAGAGGAATGGGGGGGGGGGAATGGGAGGGAGGGGGAGACGGGGCAGGGGGGTGGGATGGGAGAAATAGATAAAAAAAAATGTACTTGAAAAGTAACTAAATAAAATTTATTATAAAAAAAAGAAATAAAAAAACCGAGACTTCAAAACTAAATTTAAATAACTTGCTTCAAAATACAGTATAGTAAGTTGTGAAGTTGAAATTTTAGCCTAGCTCCATTTATCTCCAAAAAGCACTTTGTTTCTTATCAAGAAACACATTTACTCTGCACATACCTCCTCAAGCTCCTCCTATCCCAGGGAAGGAATTAGTGAAGCCTCTTGAGTAGGCAGGTCAGGCCATATTTGTCAAAGAGCCTTTTGTTCCATAATGGAATTGGCCTGTATGAAAATGACGTATGACATATTCTTATAGCACACTTGAAACAATTTCTGGGTTGAAAGTGTGTTTACTGTCCTAATTCATCAATGACCATAATAAATAACTTGGAACTCTTCGGTAGGTAATTAAGTTAATAATAGTAAGTCAAATGAAATAGTTGTTGTTTCACCGAAGTAGGAGAAAATCAGAGTTCATAAGCACAACTTGAGGATAAGTACTGTTTCATGAACCATTTGTAAGTATTAGGTATGAAAGAGTGTCTGGCTTACAGTGTAAACTATATTTCTTAATATGGATTTCAATGTTTAAAAGTTGGTAAATCACTTTTTTAGAACACTTTGTAATCAAACAATGGTTTCACCTACCTACTTGGCAAGAAGTGTGGGAGGCAGTAGAAATAATCAGGGTGAAGGACTAGCTTTAGTAACACTACATGTCTTTGCAGCTCATGAGTTTTAGTTCAAAACAGGTGCTGCTGCATTACATAATAGATACTGATAATTTATATTTTAAAGCCAATATTTATTGCACATTTATAGTCACCAGGCTCTCATCCAAGTACTTTACATATATTTAATGTTAAAGTAACTATAAATACAGAGGAGAAAAGTATGAGACTAAAAGGGAAGTTGCCCAAGGTGCTATTGCTAGTATCTGGCAGAGCCAAGATTCAAACTGACATGCCCACCCAGCCTCAAAGCCCATGCCCTGTGAGTATTTGAAAAGAAAACTTAGGCCCTGGCTGGTGTAGCTCAGTGGATTGCAAACCGACCTGCGAACCAGACAATCGCAGTTCGATTCCCAGTTAGGGCACATGCCTGGGTTGCAGGCGGTTCCCTTCAGGCCAGTTCCCAGCAGGAGACACACGAAAGGCAACGATACATTGATGTTTCTCTCCCTCTCTCCTTCCCTTCCCCTCTAAAGATAAATAAATAAAATCTTTAAAAAAAAAAAAAGAAAATTTATTCTCTCTTCAATAGGTGCAGAGTTTTATATAAAACAATAACATACTGCATGATTTTTCATTGAAGGATTATCTAATATTGTTAAATATAAAACTTGATGAAAAGTGAAAAGCCTTAGAATTTTTTTATCCTCATCCTCACCCAAGAATATGTTTATTGATTATTTATTAATTTACTTTTCCCTCACAGGAGAACTTCCCACCCCCGCCTTTTTTTCTTTTGGGGAGAGAGAATTGGAGAGAGGGACAGACAGACAGACATTGGTTGTCTCTCCTATGCACCCAGACCAAGGACCTCTCATATGCCTCCCCACCAAGGACCAGATCCACAACCCAACGTTGTGTGTTGAGTGGGAAATTGAGCCCAAGACCTTTGGGTTTACAGATGATGCTCCAGGTGAGTTACACCAGCCAGGTCAAGTCTCAGAACTTGAATTGGACCCATTCACGAGTAGGATATGAAATTTGGCATCACATTTCTGTATATTAAGTAGTAGATTGTCTGCAAATATGGTCACCAACAATCCGTCCCATTCCTGTAAATGCATGCCAACCTTTACCATGAAAAGGTGGGGTCTGTACTCCTTCCTCCTGAACCGAGGCTGGCCCTGGAGTTACTTTACCCATAAAACTCTGTGGAAGTAATGCTGTGTGACTTCTGGGCTTTGCAGTTTCATTTCACTGTCTTGGGATCTAGTCGCCATGGAATGCTGACTAGTTGACTGAATGAGGGGAAACTACGTGAAGGGAAAAAGAGAGACCTACTTAGGCCCCAACCATTCCAGCCACCCCAGCTGAGGTGTGAGTGAAGCCATCCTGCATGTTCCAGCCCCAGCTGAGCCCCTCGCTGAGCACAGCACATGAGTGACTCCAAACAACTGCAAGTGGGGACTGCCCAGTGAAGACCAGCCAGCCTGTGGAACCTTGAGACATAATTAAGTTGCTACATTTTCTAGTATCTTTTTATAAAGCAATGAATAACTTAAACTTGGAGGAAAAGGTTTGGGGTGGGAGTGGGGGGAAGATGACCAAGTCTGGGAGTAGGGTGTAGGAATATTTTAATATATTTAAGCATGTTTATATCAGGTTATAAAGTCAAGCCTATAGAGAGATGGTCTGCAATGTGCCTAGCTTTTAAGGAATAGCGGGGTGGGGGCGGGGAAGAGAGGTAGAATAATTAAAGCAAGAGTAAAAGTGTCAAATCTGATACCTATACTAGATTAAATATCTTACCCAGGTATGGTTTTAAAATTATTGTTCAGAATGTTCACAAAAATATGCATTCAGACCTCTCAAACTTCATTCAGCCTGTTGGGACAATAAGCCATGGGACAATGACTCCTCTCTTCCTACCAGTTCCTCTCCTGCCAAGCCAGGCCAGTCATCAGACTGAATCCTAGGTGTGTATGTAGACTCCAAAATTCCCTACTTCTGTTTCTTTACAGCTTGTGTTGGCCTACTGAACCAGCTGGACTTTTACCTAAAGGCCTCACCCCAAATTTCCCTCCTTCCATCTCATCTTCATTTTTGTCAGGGAGCAGCCCAGCACCCAGGTCCATGCCCCTGGCCTTTCTCTGTTCTTGCTGTTTTTTGTGTTGGAGTCTCAACCTCTGTCTCACGTTACTCAAGTTGTTTCGGAAAGTCCGATGGATCCGAAGAAAACCCCTGGTGACGTCCAAGTTGAGTACCTGCACTCAGACTCAAGTAGGCAATGAAGTGCCCCTGAGACTACCATACAACATTTTCTGTGTCGTAAACAACAGAATCTGTGCAGAGATACTGAGTACGCCAGTGAAAGAGAAGGTTGAAGTTTATGATGGACTACGTCTTTGGTGGAAAAACACTCCTCACTCCCTTCAGTGTCAGCACTGTAACCGAAGGCAGTCAGGGAGCCCTGGGAGTCTCCCACACTAGCCAGGATGCTACAGAAGGAGGTTCTTACACTGGGTGCACCAAAAGCTAGAAAGATGAATGGACAGGGCCCCAATGCACCAAAACCTAGCAAGGTGAATGGGTTGGACCGGAGCACACCGAGGGCGAGCAAGATGATTGGATAGGTTAAAAAGCCCTCCCTTCTCCTTCCTATGAGAACCACAGGCTTGAGCAGGAAGGGGAGATGGTCTTTTGGTGCAGGGAGTCCACCATTCTCCCAGGTGGGCACCTAAATAAACCTTTTTCCTTCTGCATCAATACCTGCCTCATCAGTCTGTCTTTTCTTGCAGCAGCCGGCTGAGACTGCATTTCGGTTACAGCATCCACAAATCAGCTTTGGAACCATTTGGGAGTGTTCTTGGCTTTAGGGTCACCATAACCCATTTTAACCTGCTTTTTGGGGGGTTAGCTATATACATAAACTATTTTGTTTGTTAATAGTTGTATGTAAGGGCAAAGTAGTATGGTTTAAACTGAAATAACCAGATTTCAGGGCACATTGGATACATTTAAAAAAGGCAAAAGACATATAATCTGAAGAGGAATCAGAGTATGATACATTTAGCATTTTAACATAAATCTTATCATTTCAACCATTTCAAGTGTACAGTCTAGCAGTACTGAGCACATTCATGCTGACGCGCTTCCAGCACTGCCATCCATCTCTAGGACTCTTCGTCTTAACAGACTGAAATTCCGAACCTGTTAGACAAAGACTCCCAATTTCTCTGGCCCTCCACCCTGTGGAAACTACAATTCCACTTTCTGTTTCTATGAATATGACCACTTTAGATGCCCTAAATAAACAACATAGTATAACTTAAGAGCTGGAATGCCCACAGTTTTCATAACAGTGTATCGATATTTGATACATAAGCAACACAGTCTATACAAAATAAGTGGTTTAATTTACACTGAAATATATCTAAGATACAATGAAATCATAACAAATGTATCTTTGCGTGAAGAAGCACTCTAGTTTTCCATCCATCACTACATTTGAAGCCATATACAAAATAATTCTGGACACCATAAAAGACTGAATTTTTCAATGATATCTTTGATTCTACTCTTTAGAAGATACTGTGTTGGATTATCTCTTTTAATAGACCTTGCAGTGTGGGGCCATTTGGCTTTTTGTCTTGGTTATAAATCATAGTAAAGGACACACTGAATATGGTAACCCACATCTAAATTATGTATTAGAATCATGGCTATGGAAGAACTTACCTTTCCCTAAAACTGTACAAGTGCGTATTAAATAGTTGTTACGTGGTTTCTTTAGAAGAATAGTTTATATTTTTACTTTAAAATATTACCTCCTAGAAATATTTCCAACTCAGTATTCTCATCTAAAAATGTTTTTTGAAGTTTTTTATGATAATGTTGCCTGTTTCTATGCCAAGCAAAGATGTAGAAGCCATGGATCAGCCTAAACACACACACACACACACACACAGCATATATAGAATATACACATAGTCTATACAGTATTTTAAAGTACAGGGGTCCGGCAGAAGTAACTTCTGCTTGAGTGTGGTTGGTCGAGTAATAATATGGGTATAATAATTTATAATTTGAACATTTCACCTAAAATGTCACATGGTGTGCTTGAGTGTGATATTGTTATGTTACAGAATTACATGCTTATGACTTTGTAATAAAAGATTTTATAATAAGCCCTGGCTGGTGTAGCATAGTGGATTGAGCACGGGCCTGCGAATCAAAGGATCGCAGTTCGGTTCCCAGTCAGGGCACATGCCTGGGTTGCAGGCCAGTTCCCAGCAGGGGACACATGAGAGGCAACCATACATCGATATTTCTCTCCCTCTCTCCTTCCCTTCCCCTTTAAAGATAAACAAATAAAATCTTTTTTAAAAGATTTTATAATAAAAAAGAGGCATTATTTGTGTCAGACCCTGTATATATTTGTAAGACCTCAAGAGAAAATACTTTTTTTATTGCCACAGAGCAAATGGGAAAATGTGACTACACCCCCAACATTCAAGGGATTCTAAGTGAATGCTTGAAAAAGCTTCCCATTAAGTCATCCAAAAGCACCAGAACACTCTGAGAGGAAGCAACTGAACAAAGTTTGTTTTCCTAAACCGTAATTGCTTCAGCCTGTAACTTCAATTCTTGTTTAAGAACTGAATATGGAAACCCTTTAGTCTAAGTTCCAAACGATTTACTGACAATGTGGTATTTTTATTAAACGTTAAGACCTCCATTATGTTAAATCAAAATGAATCATTTGCTTTGAAAGGTAAAGCAATAGGAATATGGGTAACAAAATAGTATCTAATTGCTGGTATTGTATTAAGACCTGTACTGTAGTGGGTTTCATACTCACTAAACTGTAATTCACCAGAGCTCCAGGAGGCCAAAATCCTATGTGGTTACAGCTGGCCTAAGAAATATACAAGCAGCAAAACAAACAAAACAAAGCAAAACAATCTCCATGCATCGTTGCCATCTTTGTGTGCTCTTTTCGGGTAGTTTTATACGCAGTCTTAAATTTGTTCAAACTTTTCCTAAATATGACTAATTTCAACACCTGTTCAGGGAATTCAGTGGATACATTGGAATCCCAGAAAACTCCATTGACTTTCCGATCTAACAGGCTTTATGATTTGTGCAAGGCTGCATGATTTGCTCAAGGCTGTGTGTACCAAATGTCTTTCTTGATACTCCTGTGACCTAGATGAGAAGGATGGATCAGCATACGTATCCAAATTTGTCTCAGTGACTGGTTGTCAATTTCTATTGGTGTCTCTTCACTACCCCTTCCCCAAAAGTTACCACATCCGAGCTACTCTGACCTTGTATCGTGATCAGATATGAAAAGATATTTATGAGCCTCTGAGCTTTTCGTTCTTTGCACTTTTATTTTGAAACATTTCTTGTAGAACTGCTGTGGCCTCACTGAGGTTTGGTACATATTTTTAAGTGTAATTTATTTACCCAGAGAAGTGCTGCTCAAATATAGCATCTGGTATTTTGTAGAGTTCTATCCAATAGTCAAATTTTCCATCTCTATTCATGAAGCAAGAGCCAGGGAAATTGCTCACTTCACTTTACAAAATAAGGAGTAGAAAATTTAACCTTCAGTTTCTATAGATTCCAAAATGATGTCGCCTTTCCAAATTCCCCTTGTCTTTACCTCCAGGGGTAGACCCCATCGTTGGGGATCTCCTGACCCCATTGTTGTTTAACTCACTAAAAAGCCTGAGATGGGAGAGTTGGGTTGGATTTGGTGTCAGACAGATGAATTTAGACCCCATGTCTACCTATTACCTGCTGCTAAGTGACCTCAGACGAATTGCTGAGTCTGCCTAAGCCAGTTTTCTCCCTGTGAATGGGAACAGTAACAATTCCCTCACAGACTTTTTTCAGTCATTGTTTTTTTTCCAACCATTTTCTTTTTGTAGTAGTAGTAGAGAATTGGCCCCAGAGAATTACTAAATATTCTTACCCACTTTCCCCTTGATCTGCATGCAAAACCTTGGTGAAATATCTGTTTACCAGTGTAGGCCAGTGGTTGTCCTGGCACTTTGCATGGTGTTTGTTTAGGGTTCTCTAAAACGAACTCATTTTGAAGGGCTTTATTATTCGGCTATTTTCTGTGCTACCTTTTGTACACAGCTTGTGCCCGTTGGTCGGAACTGACACCTCACGGCTCCTCAGCCCCCTCGCAGCCTCCAGCCCAACAGAACTATGGTGTCTCCATCACTAGTGGTATACCGCCTACTATCGATGGTGCAAAATTAGTTCTTGTGGTGTCACAAGGAAAAGAATTTCCTGAGACCAGCACAGGATAATGGGGCTATGTGGTAACCTTTACTGATTATGTAAAACTAAGAGGGTTCCTCTCCTGATTTCACATAGTTCCGTCTCTGTCTGTCCTGCCATGGGAAAAGTCCATCTTGTCTTCAGTAGGGCTAGGGTAAAGGCCACTGCCCAGAGTTTCTGCTCCATATTAAAGTACAGTACAGTCTAGCAACCAGGTAGCTTAGTGTGTGTTTCCAGCTGCAGTCCATTGCTGTGTTGCAGAATTCGAGCTCCCTTCTGGAGCCTGCATGCGGAGTCCCCACAGCCACAGGTCACATGGCTGCTAAGGCCACATGGCTCGGAGAGAACAGGTGAGTGCACCATGAGTCTGTCTTGAGAGAGAGAGAGAGACAGAGAGAGAGAGAGAGAGAGAGAGAGTTTATTCCCCTAGGATTATATTCACTTGGGCTTGGAACAAACCAGGCGCTTTTTCAAAAGAACCAATCAACTTCCCAAGCTTTTGCCAGCTTTGGATGGGTCCAGGCCTCCTAGTGAGGCTGACAGGCCTCTATGGTTCAATACCTCCCCCTGTGCTGCCCAACAGTTTGGGGGAGGGGAAGGGAAGAGTGTTAATCTCCTTGAAAGAACACTGCTATAAACCCCTGGGGTGTGAAACGTGCAGCTTCCTGGTGAAGCAGACGGGCTTATGCTCCCCAGTTTATTAAGCTCAATGTCCAATTTCCCTGTTCTCCCCTTTCCTATCAATAATCAGCTAAATACCAACATAATACTAGGAGCTCAAGTTCATTGTTGGACTCTTTACCCTCTTCCAGAAATCCAGAGGCCACATGGCTTATCATTTACTGTCTGTACCTATATCTTAAACTGTTTACTCTCTCAGATCCCTAACTCACATGCCAAATTCCCTCAGTTTCTCACAGCTTAATGGAGACAGAACTTTCCTTTTTTCTTACAGAAACGCCCCTCCATCACCCCCTCCATTTTTATTTGTTTGTTTGTTTTTATTATTGTTATTCAGTCAGATCCTATCTCTCTTGGAGCCTCCCATACATGGTGGGTACTTTTTCCCACCAAAGGGATTAACATACAGTTCAATTTTAGAGGCTTCTCACTTGCTGTCTTGGTGCATTTGCTGAGGCAGAGATTGAGTATTCCCAGAATCTAAGTAGTGTCAGGGACACGAAAGGTTTCCCCAAATGTTCATTGAATGAAAAAATTAATTTTCCATATAGGACAACTTTAAGACCCCTGAAAAAATTTAAATATATTCCAGTTTCAAGAGAACATACACCCCCTAGCAATCACCAACCGGGTATCCATCTCTGAAATTTTGTCATTTCAAGGAGGTCATATAAACAGAATCATATGGTATGTAACACGTTGGGATTGACGTATTTCACTTATTCAACTAAACACACACAAGTAAGTATAATTAAAACTGAGGAAATCTGAATAAGATTGTTGAATTGCATCTATTTTAATACCCTGCTTATGATGTTGCAGTATAGTTTTGCATTACATTACCATTTGGGGAAACTGGGTAAAATGTACACTAGATTTTCCTTCATTTCTTATGAGTGTGTTGAATCTACAATGATCTCAGAATGAAAAAGTTATTATTTTTTATACACAGAATATTTTTGACTAAGAATTCTTGAGAGTCATGGAATTTGAATGTCAGACTTTGAAAGAACATGGATTTTTCATCAGCTGTTTTAAAGAATTAAAATAAGTACCTATTATGCAGAAGCCTAGGGCTGTTGTCTCTTTAGCCTCTAAGATAAAAATGGTTCTACTATTGTGACAGAACAGAGGTCCAAGGGGGAGAAATATTTGGCCCACCCAGGGACACCAAAAATTGTTGCAGAACAGGCACACCGGGCGGACTCCGGAGGATGGTACACTAACACCGTCCGGACCCCCTACTGGGCCCGATGGTCCGTCCCCAACTGGGAAGACATCTCTCAATGCCAGAGATTTGTGAAAAGGAAATGAAATGTTTATTTAATGCTATAAGGACCTAACGTAGTAACCTAATGTCTTCATTAAAATATCGAAGTCCTTTAGGATATCCACCTACTTTGTCACACAGTGCCCTAATTCAGGGTACCATAACTCAGGAAGAGCACATGTCTGTTTTTCCAGGCCGCTGGCACTGTCAGCTGTGTTGCTGTCCAGGCAGGATCTCCAATTAATCCAAAGTCATGTGGCACCTTCTCACGGTCCACTGGCAAGAGTTCTTTGTACCCATTTTTCCAGGCAAAGCCTCTCCTGCTTCCCAGGCCACGCGGCCAAAGGGAGCACCCTAAAGCCACGTTGGCCTCTTCTACCAAAGCTGCAGGAGTCTGCACTCCGCCAAAAGTGCATGGCTTTCTTCTTCAACTGGCTGCAGGGGTCCCCACTCTGACAAAGCATGTGGTTCTCCTTCACCTGGCCAAGAAGGGTTCCTCACTCTGCTAAAACCGCATGGCTCCCTCTCAATGGCTGCTGTGTCTGTGTTTAAATTCCCATGCCAATCTTCCTGTGTACCTTTATTTCTGACTCTTCCCACAATCAGTTACACCTGCCAGTATTTCTGTATTATTGTAAGTTTACTGGGCTGCCATCGTTAGTTTGGGCAGGTATGGCCCCATGTCCTAGAGCCAATCTTCTCCAAGCTCCCACACAAGTGCTGTAACTCTGGGGACCTGCCCCTCAGTTACATCTTGGGGGGAAGTGACTTCATCCCCCTGGCTCCAAGCCTGGCCACAGCCATCTAACAAATCCAAGTGACCCGCCAAAGGCTATAGATATGTTAAATGACCATGCCATGGATTAGCTGCAAGGCTGTGGCTGTACAAAACAGCCCTGCATGTTCCTGCTCCATGTGACCCTTCCCCCAACTCACACCTGTGGGGGGAAGGGGTTAGGACATCTTATATGTCTCTTCAATATTCCTATATACCTTGAGTTCTGGACACCATTCCAAATCCCTTTTTGGGGCCCCCCTCTTGGCTGCACCCTGTATCACTCTTATATCCAGATGTGATGGAGACTAATTTCTAC